AACACTTCACAGAAGTGGAATAAACAGAGGCTGATGCATTTAAATATTTCCACTGCTGAATTGTTAAGTTTGTTTTTTCCAAGTTTTGATGTTATTTTATATAATCAGTGTAATATAATTTTATATAATCTTCTGGTGTAATTTAGTGCAGGCATGTGTCATGCCACCATATGAAACTTGAAACCTAAAACCATGTTTTTCAACCTTCTTAACATACAGTTACTATAATTGCTGTAACAGCCATATCAAGTGCTGATGCCAATACATGTATGGTGTTTTTTGATTGCCATGCCCCTGGCTCTAGAGACTATGAGAAGTGATAATATCACCAAACCAAATATTGTCAGAGAGAAGGAGGGAAAAGAAATAAAGCAATGCAAAAGTGAACGAGTGGAAACCTTCCTATGGGTTCTTGGAGGTCTTTACATGAGAGGAGTGGGAATGAGAAATGGCAGGACATGGGTAGTAGTGCAGATTTGGTCATGGTTCCTCTCCCTATGAAAATATTTAGTGCGCATTCGTGTGCATTCATAGCTGCTCAGTGCAGATTATCTCAGTGCAGCACTGGGGAGGTGAGAGTGGCAGAGTATAATCACCAAACATCTGGCATTCCACACTCAATGCTATTCTGATCACTTAACTGAGCCAGGACTTTCAGTTTGGTAAATCAGAGGACTTTTAGGCAATTCTGATGTGATATATGAATGCAACATGGCTTATGCAAGTGAGTTGTCAATAAATGGGAAAGGTTTAGGGAATTAGCTGATACACGGTTTGGGAGTCTAGGATTTATATGAGCTACTTGTGGCAAAATTTAAAAGCAATTTGAATTGTGTCTCTGGACACAGTGGTTGAGATCCCTTAAGTAGCTGGCCTCTTCCTCTGAAGGGCAGAGTTGCATCAAATCTCTACAGATTTCATTGGGAACTGGGGGCAGCAGACTGCTCTCCAGTTGGACCCCTTCTTACAGCCCAGGTTTCTTTGACTTTTGTCAAGGCTTTTAAAGACACAGTCATGTTTCACTGAAAATGTATACAGAGAAATTACTTTGTTTCTATTATATTTGTTATAGTTGGATGATTCTGGGGGAAGAAGATTTATATTTTTTTGAGCCTGATTTTGAACTTGCTTCTGCTAATGCAAATAGGATGAGAGTGAAGTAACTAATTTGCTTTGTGAGTAAACAAATGTAATAATTGCAGTCCTTAATTTTTATAAAATCTATTTTACATGAAATAAAGGTTGAGTTACTTCCTTTTTTTCTTCCTATAACATTTAATCAAAATAAATTACATGTGTGCTTATTCTTATGCATATGTAAGCATATGCTCATTATTGCTTTAGATACTCAATCTCCTTTTTGCAGCACAAATTTGGATATAGCCAGGAGCATACATACAAACCTAGAAACCTAATCTTCCTGCATAGTGAAAGATACCTTTATTGGATAGCTCAGAGCACTTATCTTGGATAGCAGTTTCTCACTTCATCCAAATCAGTTTCTGAACCTGTTGTCTGTAAAAGGAAAATAAGTGCACTGTCCAATTTCCCTGACAGTTAAGTACTATTTTTTTTTTTAAATGGTGCTCACACAGGTAAAAAAACCAAATAGATAATATTTGATTTTTCATTTTCTGAATTGTTTTGTATCATTTTATACCATTTAACTTAGTGACCGTATGGATTTTAGGCTTCAACAGAAAAGGAAAAAAAATATTTGCAGTATTTCTTTTCTACTGGCACCTAGACCTCTGTGATTGATCTAATATGTTAGATACTGTGTTATTATGCAGCACAACCAATGTTTGCCATAAAGACTTGATATTCCAATATATAAACAAGGGGGAAAATTAGTGAATAAAAGAAATAGGTGGAGAATTACCAACTGGCAGCAAGATTAATATTCCTAAATGAAAAAAAAAAAAAATCCTAATTATATTTTGCTTTTAAAAATAATTATTTAAATTTTTAAATGAAATTCTAAATTAGCTGTCCCAAATACAAGAATGCTACAGCTGAATATTTCAAAATAATACAAATGTTACTTTTCATTTCAAGAAGAGCAGGATTGCTTATTTTTTGCATTGCATTTATGATTTGTTCAAACCAAATTTTCACTGCAATGTAATGTTTTTGTCCTCATATAAAATAGATGATTACTATCTAATTATTTAATTCATATATGTTCTTAAAACATGTCCTGTGTGTAAATATGTGAAATATTCACCATGGCAGAGGTCATATTTAAAAGGGTATTATTGGTATATTCCTAAATTAATAACATTTAAAAGAGTTGCCAATGAAATAAACAATAGTCTGTTTCCAGATCAGATATTTAGAAAAGGGTGTCTTTATTTCTGAAGCAGACAAACATATATTAATCCAGCACATTAAAGTTTATGGGTTTTTTTTCTTTCAAAATACATTGTAATTTTTATGTTTTTTGTAATGCTAAATACAAAACCGTGTCTGGACAAGGAGGGAGTGAATGAATAAGGAGAAACAGATCATTCTTTATCTCTCCTCTGATTAGACAGATAATTTTGCTGAATAACTAGAGCTCTTAGTGGTAACCTAATGAACATTGGTGCATCTAGTGAGAAAAGTGCCAGTTTCTCATTGCAAAAATCTTTATTGTTGCATAAAGAGTTCCTTTTTAATTTTGTGGCTGAATTAAGCCATTGCTTTACTACATCCATCTTTTAGAATAATCCCAGCTATGTAACAGTGACCTGGATTTCCATATGTTGTATATGTAACTATAATATTACAGGTGCAACAACACTGTGCTGGCAGTAAATATCCTATTTACATCTGAAATCACATGTATGGTTATAAGAGTGTATTTTTGTACCTTCTTATGTTTTTAGTTTTTTCACTTAAATTTACATAAGCACGTATGCCTGAGTTGATCAGAACTATGCACATTGCTTCTCGAAATCTCCTACAGAGCCTGTTAGTGAGTCTTAAACCAGTGGAGGCAAGTAAATGTTTTCTGTAGTATGCACCACAAAACATAATAATGAGAGGTGTGCAGTGCTGCATTTTTGGAGTGTTGCCCAAAAAAACCAAAAAACAACAACAACAAAAAAAACCACACCAAAAAACATATGAAACAAAAAAAGCAAAAACAAAACAAACCCAAAACCAAAAATAAACAAACCCCCACAAAAAATTTGCAAAAATCGGGACAATTCTTCTGTTCAGAAATTAGTTAATGTATTTTGTATCTAGAACTGAAATATCTAATCAAAACTAAGAGTTGTTTCTTTCTTTTTATGATAGGAAAACTAAAAAAGGTTACCTTAAAATTACCAAATACCTTAAACTACATTTAAAATTACTAGGAGATGTCCAGACTTAAAACTACGTCTGCATGCAAATATATATAAAAAATGTGTCATTATGTATTTAAGTATATATTTCATGATTTTTTATAGGATTATTTAATATATGGATGGATTAAATTTTTTTCAATACCCTACTTTCATGTCACCTTTAGAATAAGTCAGCAGCTGATTATTTATTCTATAGAACATGTTCTGTTTTGATGCCAATGAAATTCTGAATTAAAAATTATTTTTATAATTTAAAACAATTCAGTGCAAAATAGAGGATGATATATTATTATTTTTAATGCACGTATTGTGTAGTTGGATAAGTGTTTCTCAAATTTCTAGTATGCTGAATTCTCAAAGATATTCTTTTCATGCTAACATAACCATTGGAAATATCTAAGCTTTTTCTAGCTTTATTTGTAGGGCATGCATATTGGTTTGCAATTAGTTTGACTTTATAATGAGGCAGTAATAAAAGACTATTACTAATGACATTTAATTGTATTTTGTATTGTTTTGTTGCTAAGACTTTCAATAGAATTTTGCTGAAAGGACTGAAAAGTGTTGCCCCTACATATATTCCACAAAATTGGATTAATGGATATCTGAACACAAAGTTACTAAAACCAAAACTTCTGTAAAATGAAATATCTTATTAATTCAATGTCCTAAAATAGACAGTACATGAAAACTTTGGGACACATTTGTAAAAGGTATATCAAAAACAAAAACTATGAAAAATATGTATAAGTATTGAATTTTTGTCCTGGGCATCATTCTTCACTCATAGCAGTAAGTCAATAGGTAATACATTTATTGACATTAATTACGTTGTGTCAGTTTGAAACTTGTTTAAACAGAAGAAAAGGTAGCATTTATAGATAAATAACTTTTGGTTGAAACCATTTGGTAAACTTTTAAATGTACAAATGCCATGTTTTATACTCTCAAAATCTCAGCTCTTAGATACCCTTTCCTATAAAATTTAATTTCCATTGGCTGAACAATAATAATACAGTGTAACAGATAATGAATTTCCATGCTGTGATGTGGGTCACAGGTTAAAGAATCATGTCCTGTTCAAGACCACCTATTTCATTTGTCCAAGGTTTAGCTGAATGTTGTTTTGCTTGTGGTTTTTTGTTTGTTTTGGTTTTGGTTTGTTCTGTTTCTTTCTTTCTTTCTTTTTATTTTTTTTTAATTATTGCTACTAAAGATGTTTTAAAGGAAGGTAAAGAATTTCAGACAAATTTTGCCAAAGAAGTTGTTTTGCTACATTTGCCTGGAAAGAGAGGAATCATGTGAAAATACTCATTTTGATACAATCTAAGATAATCTTTCCATATGAATGTAATAGCTGCATTTGCTTAATCTTTTGGTGTGAACTGTAGTATGCTGAAAGCAGTATTTTCTGTGGGAGAATGATAAAAATTATTTTCCTGTTAATTTACTTTTAAAAATTCTTAATATACATTTGAAACATGCAGAGCATTAAAAAGCATGGTGAGCTGTATTTCTTTTTAATTTTTTTAACCCTTTCTTTTAAAAACATGGTAACTAACTTGCTTCATTCTTTTCCTTCCTTTTATAGGGTAGCAAAAATATTATAGTGTTTATGCACAAAGCAGAAGTATTATTTATATATATTTTTTTCAATTACAG